TATATATATATATATATATATATATATATTAGTGATATCGTACCTATATTTATATATATGCGTATATAAATATGTTGGCAGTAACAAATAAAAAAATTGCTTAAATCTATTTCTACTGCATATATGTATGTGTGTGTGTGTTTGTGTGTGTGTGTGTGTGTACGCAGTAACGCATATATATATGGACAGTAAGAATTGATATTTAAAGAAATAATTAATTAATTTGAAATGAATGTGGCATGTTCTGGGGTCTTTCATATAATGCTTTGAGGATTTTATGTATTTCTAAAGTACACAGCATGCAGACTAGTATTCCAATATCTATCTTTACTAGAAAATTGCATTCCCCCGATGTAAAATCTCTACTTCTGTATACTCCTCATGTTGCCAAAGAAATACTTTTGAAACCCGTTTTTATTCAGCTATGGGAAGGCTGCTAAGTTTTCCGGTTATTTTTAGAATAAAATGTCAATGGAACTCAAATCAGTAGCAAGATATACTTAAAGGCATTTTACCTGACAAAATGTCCAGTTTAGACAACCTGATGATGGTTAAACACGAGTCTGAGACAGTCAAAAGAAACGGCATTTATTGTTAAGCATAAAAACGTGTCAAAATATTGAAGATCATCCAATATATTCATATAAACGAAGCGAAAAGCATAATTACAAGATGGCTGCTACTCGATTTCGAGTAATGACACCGTTTGACTGAGCCTCAAATATGCGCAATATGGATGTGGCTTTTTAGTGTTGCTAGGGACTTACACTCTTTTGTGCAGATATGGCATCATTGGGAGCGTATAACTGTCGTGTTACAATAATATTTTGGGGAACATACGTAGATACATAAAAATACTAAGTCAGAGTTTATTATGTGAGTCAACGCTTTAATCATTCCAATACGTCTTCGATTATCCGAACATCTTGGGACAGCGGTTGAAAAAATACGTTCGTAAAATTTAAAATCTTGGATGAAGAATCAAAAAAGAATAATGGAAAAAAGTTATTTTCTGAAAGAAATTTAACTTTCATATTTTCAAATAACAGTTCAAAACGCCTTATTCGTTTTATCCAATTTATCTTTCATGTAAATACGTCAAATTTTGTTTACGCGCATCTGAGAGCTCCTCTTCTATGTATCGTGTCCCTTCAGAATATGGACAATCATGGTTTTCCCCAAATTCCTGTCATGTGAAACCCGTGCCTTTTCGCTATCTCTCCTAATCCCTGTTCGACAAAACATTTATACAAATCCGTTGGATATGTTATGCATTGCTTTCCTACGTCTCTCCAATGTAATATTTCCGCTCCAGTACGCTCGTCATGTTGCCAAGGAAATGTTTTTGAAACCCGTTTTATTCAGACATTCATTTATCTCATGAATATGATGCAGTATTGCCTTGCATTAAAAATAATATTTTCATAGTATTTCGTCTCTAGTAAGTCTGCTAACTTTACGGTTATTATCAGAATAAAATGTCAATAGAAGTTTAACCAGTAGCAAGACATACTTAAAGGCATTTACCCTGACAAAATGGTTCAGTTTATTCAACCTAATGATAGCTAAATACGAGGTCAATAGAGACGAAATTTATTCAAACGCGACAAAAACATTGAACATCGTGAATATATAGATATAAATGGGCCTAAATGCATGTATACAAGATGGCTGCTATGCAAAATTCTCACTTACCTCATGTGTCCTAGAAATTTCAAATGTCTCTTTCTGATGTAATTCCAATGTATGTTCCTTGTATTTAAGAATTAATCGAACTGATAGTTTTAATCATTATTAACGTTGTGTGTGATTTTCTGAATTCTCAAAACGTTTGTCTGAGATGAAATATTAAAATGGGTTTAGCTTAGATACCCGGAATTTTTCGGATGATTTCAGCTTTTCTCTTCATTCTTATTAAGCAGATAAAGTTGTTAAAATATTCAGGATATAATTATATTTATATAGGCGATACATGGTCGCCTCAAAGTTAGTTTATTCTTATATAAAAGCAGTTCTATTTCAGCTTTCATATGCATTTTTTGTTTTCAGGTATCTTTATTTTGTTATTGTTTTAAATTTTCTACTTTCTAGCTTTACCTTAACTTTAACTTTTGGGCCATTTTATCTGTTCTTCTCTTTATAATATTCGTCTATTTCAACAATATTGGGGGGGATTTTTATCAAGCAAAGTACAACATAAACTTTTATTTATAAATAAAGCGAAAAGATAAAGGAGAGAGCAACATACAGGGTGATCGAAAAGTCGCGCAATATGTCTAATTTGTTTTTATATTTTCTTATTTTGCAGAAACAATTTTGACGAATTAAAATGGCTGAAAAGCTAACGAAAAGAATGAAATATGAACGCAGTAAAATGACAGAAGAAATTCCTCGACGTATTAATGAATCATGCAGGCAAAGAATTGAAATGTGTTTTGAAAAAGGAGGATATTTTGAACAGCACATATAACAATTAAATAACGAGTAAATAAAATTTTCATTTGTAACTATACTTTTAATAAATTATCCTTATGGTGGGCGACTTTTGCCTCACCCTGTATATGCGATTATTAAATATCTTATATAATATTTTATGTTACTTTTCAGCCTAAACAAAACCCAAGAGTCTCGAAAAAGCAGAATGAAGTTGGTTTATAGACAGATGGAAATAAGAAATTAAAATTACGAAGGACAGAAAATGTTTGGACCTGGACTTGAAGAGTTTAAGATTTTAGTGATCGAGGAAACATCTTCTCGGATCTCTGTTCCACAAAGTCGCGGTTCTTGGAAAGAATCTCTCCGAATCATCCTTCATACTTACCAGTGGAATATGAAGGGAATGGGTACGGTTCGTCCCAGGATACATGGATGTTAGCTGTGAAGTTTAGAACGGGTGGAGCTAAGGAATGTAGCTCGACAGAAGTTTTTCTATAGAAGTAACGATAGTGTAAGCGAGTGACTCCCTTAATTAACTCGTCGATTTTCGTCCGGTACTGTTAACTAATACATCCGAACAACCATAGTGATGGTGTTAATAAAAATGGTGCTCGATGCAATATAACTGAGCTATAAGCTATATATTAAACTTGGAGTTTCATGCACAATGCAATCTTAAATTATAACTGAGTATCTGAAGATTACGTTGTGATATGAGTAGTGATATGAGAAAAATATATATATATTTTATATATATATATATATATATATATATAGAGAGAGAGAGAGAGAGAGAGAGAGAGAGAGAGATAATATTAGTGGTCAATATATATATATATATATATATATAAATTCCCAAGAGGATAGAATCCAGGTAGAACTCAATGTCCAGGACAGAGGAAGAATATAATATAAAAGGCCCAAACACTAATACTCCATGGTTATAATTTATTACATTGGAATCGTAATCACGATCCAAATCATCAGACCTACAAATTCAAAAGTTTGAATTTGTAGGTCTGATGATTTGTATCGTGATTACGATCCAATGTAATAAATTATAACCATGAGTATATCTTTTATATATATATATATATATATATATATATATATATATATATATATATATATATATATATATATATATATTTCAGAGTTGTTTTTCTGTTTACTTTTTGAATTTGTGGGTCTGATGAATTGGATCGTATTTGGAATAAATTATGACCATGGAATATTAGTGTTTAAGCCATTTCATTATATATATATATATATATATATATATATATATATATATATATATATATAGAGAGAGAGAGAGAGAGAGAGATAGAGAGAGAGAGAGTGATTATTTTATGGCTTATCAGACTTTTGCAGGTTATTTACATCGTGAAAATGTTTGTAGATTGCAAGAGGTTTTGGAGATAATGATGATTTACTACTCATTAACCCATAAAACACATATATATATATATATATATATATATATATATATATATATATATATATATATATATATATATATACTACTCATTAACCCACAGCCGTGGGGAGAACAGATAGATTCATATCTTCCTAATCTATTTGCTTAAAAGTGAATATAAGAAACGCGACTGGTATTGGAACTCGGCTCTCCGATTTCCAATTCCGTTATCCATTACACCAACCACACATCCATACTTACAGCATCTTGTATTCCCATATAGGTACCGACCAGTCTCGACGTTGCTGAACTTCGGTGTTTGTACCAGATCTGGTGTTTCAACCTGATATGGCCGTAAGCGAAAGAGAGAAAAGGAAAGCGTCAGATATACAGCAGGCGCATTTTAGCAATACTTGTCTTTTTACAATCCTTCCCAGTCCGTCTTTTGCAGGCCATTATACATAAGGTAGGTTACTACTGTTTTCCTATGTCTCCCTTTCCTTCAATATATCCTGTGAGTGTCAAATACTCATTATGTGTCTTAAATAATGTCAAATCTTTCAGTTTTCAGTAAAACCTCTTCGTTTTTCCCCTGTTCTATCCATGGTATTCTCAGCATCCTTCTGTAGAACCAGATCTCTTTTGCCTCACAGCCCCACTTCATCTTTGAGGAAAATATCCAGTTTACGCTGTCATATAAGATCGATATTAGATAGTAAACACTCTTTTTTGTTTTCTAACCTCTATTCTGCTAAGCATTTATTCGATCTTCCTATGTAGTCTATCCATTGCTTTCCTTTGTCCTCGTTGCCTCCAAAAAGTCCTGTAAGCGTCAAATTTTCTCTTTCTTTTCCTCATATTCTTTTTTTTTTTTTAATTTTCTCAAGATTTGCCGCCAGTCCATCACTCTACAACTAATTTAAATGTAGTGCTATCTACCTTGAGGTTCTTTATGATTCTTGTAATACCCACGATAGCTGTCACGCTTAATGTCATTCGAACTGGACCATTGTCGCTTGAGTTGAAGAAAATAGTATTAATACAACAAAGTAATGGCTGCACTTAAATAATGGCTACACTTTGGTTAAAGGGCTACATCCGACCGGTTTTCCCGGGCTCCTTCGACCGAACACATCCGGCGAAAATGAGCAAGCATCACGTGCTTGGTTCTTCACGCGCCTTCGTTCTTTGCTGGTCAAATATTACAGTTGAAAAGACAGTTGCTGTTGCAGACTGTGATAATTCACTTCTACTTTCAGTTCCGTTACTGTGACTTCCGCTTTTGATACTTTCATTTCCGGTAGTACAAATCTAACTTCCGTTTTCAGTGATTAATCACCTTTAATTCTTAGTTTATTTCAGCGATGAATGATACCGGATAGAAAAAAAAATTCTCTTTATATAAATTATAGACAGTAGATGTCAACTAGTATCTCATCGCGACCACCTCACAGATCTAAACGTAAACACATTATCATATATTTCATTGTATTAGATGGCGTCTAAGGTGATTTTTTAATCCAGCGAGTAACTCAACAGCACAGATGGTAACTCGTCACCTGCTTTTAAAATGATATTACATATTCTATCTACCAATCGACACACTGTGTAACGCAAGACACATGCAGAATCGTTTTGGTACCCGGCGTCCCTGAAAGAGAGCCGCAGTTGGTGACTCTTAATGCCGACTTTGGATGGGTATACATACCCGCATTCATCACATGTCATTGGTAGCTTTGAAGCGACGACAAGTTTTGATCACTACTCAAGATTAAGATAAGAATATTGTATTATTGTCAGCATATATATTTATAAACGCTTTTTATATCGATTTTATATTGATAATAATATTGTTTACGTTATCTACTGATCCATGTTATTGGCTAAGTTCTGTTATCCTTGATACGCGGTCAACTGCATAATTTTACGTATATCAGTAGGTATATATATATATATATATATATATATATATATATATATATATATATATATACTCTACTACAAGTTTTGCCTGGATATTCTTTTTTTTAGTGACTCCTCAGGATTATCCACATAACCAAAGATTATTATATATATATATATATATATATATATATATATATATATATATATATATATATATATATATATATATATGCATGTTTCATTAAATAATATAGACAAGTTTTTTTTCTGTTTATTTTAAGTAAATTCCTTTCATATTGTCAGATAAGCTTAATAACATTATCATTGAAAGATGAAAGAAAATCACCATATTGATGTTTTTAATCCTATCTATGCTTTCGGCTTGCGAAAACCATTATCAAAGAAGACAATTACATTTTAATATATTTAACAATACACTGACAAAACAATGATGATAGTCTGTTTAAGTTGCATGAAAGATTTCCAAGCCAAAACGTGTATACGAGACGCGGAAGCGAAAATCACACCGCAGCTCGTGACGTCACGACCACGCGAGAGTGAAAACGAGAATTATTAAGTATGGGAAGCTGTTGGTATAAACCAATGGCTTCTGTTATCAATTATAGGTATTTAAGAATATTTGTGGAGATTTTGTAGTTTATTTTGCTCAGGTTAGGTTTCAACTGTTTTATATATATAGCTTCAAGAATTTTTAGTTTTTGTTTATTGTTTTCATGTTTAAGTATAGTTGTATTTTCAACGAGGATTTTCCGGAATTGTGTATGCGGCCAGGCATGTTGTTTTAACGGAACACTTTCTTTTAAAGGGGTCTTTTTCGTCTAACACTTCATCAGAAAGATTCGATGGAACGACAATAATCAAAATGGCGAAGATGAAAAAATTAACACGATTGGTAAATAAGAAGCTACGGCTAAAATAAATTTATTACAAAAAGAAACAAATCGGTGTAAATAAGTCTCTAGTGAGTATAAAACATTAAAAGAATTACTCATGACCCACCCATGAGACAAAGAAAGCGAAGAAAGTTCTCTTTCTGCCAACTTACAAGGTGAATATATCATCAAAGCACGGTGGGCCAAGCTAGAAATAAAATTAATCTTACGGAACTTTGGGACAACAGAATTCCATTTGGTGTGTAAGCCAGTAGCGTCTGGCTTACGATATACACTGTTTATAAACGATCCCCCTCCGATTCAACCAGTACATCCAGAAAGAGTAACACAGAATCACTCTCCTCTTTCATAGGAAACGGAAAGGATATTGAGGTAATTAAGCTTACAATGAAACGTCCAGGCTCTTAGAAAGAATTAAAAATGGAAAAAAGTATCATGTACATAACGAAAGTACATACACGTTCTATGGCAGCTTTCAAATAAATGATGTTCATAAAAATCCACAAAAAATATTGGCCAAAATAGGATCCAAGGGGCTACCCATTGATATGCCATCAATTTGGATATGCATAATATTATTAATGCTAAATTTAATATTCTCAGTGGCCAAATGCATAAACTCCAGAAACAAATTTTATGCAATACTAGGAGAAGTGAGATAATTCGTGTAAGGCGCATCAGTACATATTTGTAATGTGTCCTGAAGAGGAACATTAATGAATAAGCTGACAATATCAAAAGAAACCATCAACTTGTCCACCGAAAATAAATCAAAATCTCTAATAATTTGAGAAAACCGAAACGAATCAAGAAAACAAAAAAGAATACAAATCTGAAACCAGCTGCAAGAATTCGTGCAGCATCGAACTTACCATGGAAAAAAATATATATATATATATATATATATATATATATATATATGCGCGGTACAACTTAGTGGAAAGTACTCAATATGTGTGAAATAGCTAACACATTCATTTCTACAAGAGTTTGTCTGATCACAAAAGCGTGAAATCCAGTGTTACAAACTAATATTCATACAACTGAATATATCCTTCTTCAGGGTAACGTTGGTGTAATGGGACGAGACAAATCATATTCACGAAACGTTAATAATATATAAGGAGGATGGATTTCGGAACACGACAACAACAATCTATTAAATGTATCATATATATATATATATATATATATATATATAAGTATCATATATATATATATATATAAAGTACCATATATATATATATATATATATATATATATATATATATATATAAAGTATCATATATATATATAAAGTACCATATATATATATATATATATATATATATATATATATATATATAGGCACCATATTTTCATTCAAATATTGTTTAAATAATTTAGACATATGTTTATTTATTTTAGTTGTGATCCTTTCAAGTTCATAGATTAATTTCTTGCTAGGTTGAGAAAATTGAGTATGAAAAATACAAAAATTCTCTTCAGGGAGTAAAATTGTCCATGAATGTGTATATTGTATTTGAATGTGCATATGTATTTCTGTAAATTAAAAAATACTTCAACTGCTCGTTTTACTGCGTTATGCCGCGTTCTAGATTTCAAATTCAAAATTTACGTGTTTTTTTTTCCAAAAGTATAAGGGAGGCAATTTTTCATTTATATATATATATATATATATATATATATATATATATATATATATATATATATATATATATATATATATATATATATATATATATATATGTTTTAAACAACAATTCTCTATGAAAAAACAGTAAAATCGACTTTGCTAACCCATACGCTCCTCTGTAGCTCAATCAGTTCCGTATAGGATACAGGTTCGATGCCTGTCGGAGGGCACATATTTTCTATGAAAATTTCTCGGACATTCAGGCCGGTAAATGTCGTTAATACTGTTTATTATAAACAGAACATTTACTTAAATATTTCTATCTATAATAAAACCTATAAACATAAAAAGTGTCTTAAAAATAATAATTGTCGGACTTTGTCCATTTCATAATATATACATACATATATATATATATATATATATATATATATATATATATATATATAATATAAATTAATACAAAATTATATTAAATCCAGACTAATACTGAACTCTCCTGTCGGTTTTCCGAGGTATGAGGGTCAAGCAATTTAGTACCTAGGAACCGACAGACAGACGCCTGCATATATGCTCTGATTATAGTGGTTAAGGCTTTGCGCAGAACCAACCACACTTTTTGAAGAGCCGAATACAGAGATCTGGTGCACAACGTGCCAGAAGGTCCCCAAATTTTTCTTCTCCTAGACTAGTTGCCTTCGTACTACATGACATGTTGAAAACTGAATCAATGATCAGTAGATACAAAACAAATAATTCACAGCATCAACCTTTCTATTCTGTTCGCTAAAAGATGCTGCCAAACATCTCAAATACAACCTACACACCGTGATCAGATAAACCGACAAATTCAACTTTAACAAGAGTGATTACAGGTCCGACGTGCAAAAATCCAGCTGCAAAAAAAATTATCCATTTGGGAGTCTCTTCACATCAAAACACAATCAATAAAATTTGTTCTTATCTCTAGGCGCACGTGTTAAAATATGTCAACTGTAGGTCATTTTATTCATGTGAGGCTATAATCTATTTTCTCAACATAGACTGTGAATCTACGTTCATATGAAACTCGAACCATTAGCAGCATGAATATTCCAGTCTATCACTCGACATCTGTCCTTAAAAACGGCTACTGATTGTCGAAAGTACTCAGACTATTACACATAATTTATGCAATTTACTTTACAAGATTCCACGACATATTCTACATTCCTTGCCGTCTTATTTAATATATATATATATATATATATATATATATATATATATATATATATATTGTTTATACGTTATTTTGATAGATAGAAATATTTAAGTAAATGCTCTGTTTATAATAAACAGTATTAACAACATTTACTGGCCAGAGAATCCGAGAAATCTCAAAACGACAAACTTCTCATGATTTCTTTCGAAAGCTCATATATGCTCGAATCGTATCTTAACGTAAACAAATGACAAGTCCGACAATGGTATATATATATATATATATATATATATATATATATATATATATATATATATATATATATGCAACGATGCCACATATATATATATATATATATATATATATATATATATATATATCTTATAATTATTTTTTAAAACTATGATTCCATCGCTACATAAGAGTTCTCATGTTTCAAAAATAGAAGCTAAAAAAACAGTTCTATTTCATCCACAAGCTGTTTTTTTAGCTTCTATTTTTGAAACATGAGAACTCTTATGTAGCGATGGAATCATATTTATTTTTTAATTATTATAATTTAGGGTTTATGTATGTATTGAGCACTGTTTTTTAAAAATAAAAACAAAAATACTAAAGACCTTTGGATTATTAACCTAACGGCTCTTTCCTATTTTTCTATATATTTGCACACACACACACACATATATATATATATATATATATATATATATATATATATATATAGAGAGAGAGAGAGAGGGGGGGATTGTTATGGTGAGTTAAAATATCTAACCGTAAAGCGAAATTGATAAGCCGAGTTGCAAATTAGATCAAGGTGTCCTGTAGAAAATCTTAACACCTTACATTCTGATTCTTTGCCAGTTATCTTGACAGAATGACTCGTTCCTAACATGTCACAGTGATTGACGGAGTAGAGACCAATTTCACCAATACAGAGTCAATCAATTTCTTCTCGATTTAGGTAACGTATCCAGTTTCCGACGAGAAACATGACAAATAAAAATTGATATTCCGAGGAGAAACTACATATACAGCACAAAACACGAAAATGTATTACCATATATATATATATATATATATATATATATATGAATAAAGACAAAAAAAGTTATCCTAACCGACGCATTTCTGATGGATTTTATCGTTTACTTATTAAACAATATATTTATTTATTTACGTCTACTGGCTTGAATATTCGAGAAATATTAACGCTCTCTCTCTCTCTCTCCCCATCCCTCTCTCTCTCTCTCTCTCTTTCTCTCTCTCTCTCTCTCTCTCTCTCTCTCTCTCTCTCTCAATGTTCAATGATGTTGAACATTATAATTACAAAGATTACCTTAAAAACATTATCTTACTCTGGCCGACTGTTTTTGGCAAAATATCATGCTAGTTATATATATATATATATATATATATATATATATATATATATATATATTAGGATATTACACCGAAAAGACGGAAAATCGCTACAAAACTGATGTTTTGTTTCAATGCATATCAATGCATCTCATCAGGCGATTGTATATTACTTGAGAGTGAACGATTTATTAAAATTTAAAAGCAAAATACAAACTCTTTTTTCGAAAAAAAAGGTGGGGTTATAAGGTTATTGGGTTTACTCAGATCAACCAATCAACTATGACCTACGTTAAATTTAAACTAAGCGAAGAAGCAAATATTATTTTTTATAAATGGGCCATGATAGATTGGTAGCTAACGGCAGCCAGACATAAATTAAAGGAGGATACATATGGTTACATAAAATATGCAAACAGGACAGCGCAGTTTCCTAAAAAAATAAAAGTGGATAGAAAGGTAATTTAACAAAATGTTAAACGAGTTATATGTTTTGTGAATTTCATACTTTAAAAAAATTGTAGTTGATAAATAAATGCTTTCTTTAAGAAACTAGTAATTAATTTAAACCTATGGTAAATTAAATAAAGATCTTTCATAAAAGATGTTAAGAACACTAACCAGTCAATGTAAAATATCAAAAATAGCAACAAATGCCAATACATCTGTAAAAGATGTTACTAATACTACCAGGCAATTAATACAAAATTATATTAAATCCAGATTAATGTTACAAATAGAAATATAAGCCACATATAATGCAACGCAGTACCACTAAAATATAAGGAAAAGCATTATCAAATTCTAAAGTTTAACTAAATTGTAAGGTAAAAGATAAACTATGCTTACAATTTACTGTTAATTCACTTCTTTGATTTAATAATGAATTTGTGTCAAAAAAATTTGATGATTTGGAGTTTTTCATGAAAACAAAGAAAACAGGATTCATATAAAGATTGATATGTCCTTGCCGTTTTTATAATTTTCCATTTCAACTTAGGAGTCTTATTATCATCTTTTAAACTCCAAAAATATTTAGAAAGTGGTATATTATTTCTGTAAGAAGTATTGGTCAAGGACAAGATATGTTGATATCACCTAGTCTTAAAAGAATTCTCAGTACTACCGATATAGAATACTACTAAGATAAACAAGAGATTGGTCAAAATTCCTACAATTACATTGACCAATATCATTAATAATATTTATCTTGGAATGTGTATTATGATCCAGATTATTAAGATTGTTTAAAATTTTATTATTGTGTAACTTTATAATCTTCTCAAGATTATTTGTGTAGCTATAATTTAGTTTTAATGTTTTTCTGTTAAATATTTTACTAAAAGGATGACATTTAAGAAAATGTTTATCAATCAAATGGAGGAGCTTCTGGCCTAGCTTAGTCTTGACTAATTGATTAATTGGGGAGGGGCTGCCAAAAGATCTTTCTATTTTTATCTCTTTACTTTGAACTACTATCATCATGCCTGACGAATGCGTCTAGCATGAAATAGACTGTCGCCTCTAAGTGATGACTTCAATGTTCACTTTTATATTTACACACGCTCTATCTCTGGTATTGAGCACTTTATTCCATAAATATAGCACACCTTAAGACAATATTTCTTCATATATATATATAAATATATATATATATAAGTGATAGAAATTATTAGGAAGATTTGAGATAATTATAATTAAGTAATTCATAGAGTCTAGAAGAAACCTCAACAGAATGCAGAAAGTATTGGACGGCTGTTTCGTCCTATATTTGGGACTCATCAGCAGTGCGCATCCAGTTAATTATAACTATCTCAAATCCTTCTAATAATTTCTATCACTTGCTTGAACCGACCTAATGCTCTGGATGGAGCGTCTTGGGGATAGTAGTCGTTTTCCTGATAACATAACTGTCCAGGTTTCAATTCTTGGTGGTAGATGCATACTACTGATGAGTCCCAAATATAGGATGAAACGGCCGTCCAATACTTTCTGCATTCTGTTGAGGTTTCTTCTGGACTTGATGAATTACGTAATTATGTATATATATGAGAGATACTTGTCAAATATATATATATATATATATTAAAAAAATGCCCAAAATATAAAGCAGGTCATAAATTTTGCAAATTATGTGCTGAGGAGAAATTAGCCATAGCTTTATATGATCAACCTAACCAGCTATTAAACTCTAAAACTGAAATTCTTAATGTATGTAGACATAAAAAATCTTGGCTACTAAATTAGACGTTTTCCCGTTATTGACTTTCCACTGAGGATTTTTTTTTTTTTGTGTTGTTGAATAAATATTACCCCCCCCACTTTTTTTTTTTTTTTTTTTTGTCACGTGGTATGATTTTAGCTATCACCTATAAATATGTGTTTCTCTTTGCCTCGTTAGCCAAATTTTCCCTGGCGATCCGTTTAGGTGAAACCTAGGTAGGTTTGTCTGGCTCACTAGGTGTATCTAGGTCTGCTCTACGGTTGTATTGAGCTCTTTTGTTAGTTAGTTGTTACTCGTATCGGGGTTTTTCTCTTTGGGCTTCAGACCTGCATCTGTGCGATTTTTTTGTCGGCAGAAGTTCATGTTTGTAGCTCTTTCTTTTTTTAAAACCTTTTTTTTTCCCTCGGGATTGATTTGATTAGCAAATCAAAAATTCGAGGGTTTTTCGAAACGAGTCTAGTTATCTATCTATTTATCTATCTATCTATCTATCTATCTATCTATCTATCTATATATATATATATATATATATATATATATATATATATATAAGCCCTTTCTCAGTTCATTACAGGATTCAGGCTATTATATATAATCCTCTCAAATAAATGGAGTAATGAAGCCACGTCATTGCCTCTCACGCTGGCTTGTGATCTGACTGCGATTCCCAAGCTAAAGAGGCCCATCTGACTAGTTATTTTACTAGTAGTTATGGTGAGAAGTAATGGATGCATGCCTTTCAAAATTGCTGTAGCATTGTGTCTATGTGTGTCTCCACAACGAGGACGGCACCAATGAAAAATGATTGAACGATATTTCTTTAAAAGTTTCAATCACTTTGATCTGTGCTCTTCATCTTCCTCTTCACCTTCCTTCTCATCCTCCTCCTTTTCCTACTTCAGATTTTTTTTTTGTTTTTTGTTGTTTTTTTTCCCTAAACAAACCTTATCACTTCTGGTCAACTCGTTGCAAGTGAGTTCATTTGATATAATAATTCATGTAATATTATTGATAAGTTCCTATATAGATTGATTAAAAACGTTTGATCAAAACAAAAGTCAATAAATATTTATTTCTTAATAAAAACTACTTGGAAGTCTATAGATAATAGGATAAATGTTCACCGTTTATTCCGATTATAATAAGATACGCACAATATTATTTCCTTTTGGTTCCAGTTTTCCCTCCGAAGCCAGCTTGATGATATTTCCCGTCTCAATAATTTTCACACCCCACCCCATTCTTTGTATGCATACATATATAACATCTACACATAAAGTAATTAACCATTTAAAAACATTATCAATCTTCGACATACGATTTCATAGTGCATACGGTTTGACTCGTTTTGTTTTTTATGCATATCTGGTAAGATAATTCAGACTATAATAACATTGGCAAGAATCCATATACATGGAGCTCCCAGTAAGAAGCAAACTCACCCAAAATGGACCGTGAATTCATCTTCAAGATTGCTGCTTTCTGTTTGATGGAATCTCCTGCCGGTTTTTATGTACAATATTACAACACGGGTTATTTGTTTATGGTGGTGGGTGTCTATGTAGAACCAGGCACACATTTCAGACAAAAATGAAGCTATCTTTATGTTTTATTGTCCAGTAAACTCTTCAGAACAATGTAAAAATACGTGCACGATTATTTAAAGATGGCCTCAAACTCTACGCAAAGACATGGCTTGAATTAAGAGTTTTTTCTCCTTCTATCTGTAGCGATAATTCAGACTATAATAACATTGGCAAGACATACCACATATATGGAGCTTCCAATAAGAAGCAAACCCACTCAAAGTCAACCATGATCTTCCAGATTACTATAAGAACTTTCTGTATGATGCAGTCTCCTACCGGTTGTTAATTGGTAACAAACACGTATGTGTACAAAAACCTATCATCTACCATGTATTCAATTGTGAAAACAAAATAGCATATATTTTTTATTACTTTCCAAGAAAATTAAATTTCGGCATTGAATGACACATGAAGGTGTTGATATAGCGCCAAGCAAACAAAGCAATTAAATCAATCGAATGCCCAGGCCGGTAGACGTAACTTACACTATTTGAAAAACAGGATGCCTACTCAGACATGAGAATCCACAAAACTACGTTTAATGTAGTGTGAAATAAAGTCGTATAAATATCCATTGATTTATTTAAAATTAGTTTGAGATACAAAAAACACAGCAGATATGGGCTTCCGAAATTATGTGAATCCGTACGAGTTAAGCCTAGTGGATTAAAAAGTTGGTTCGTGAATTTGGTTGCTTAGTAATTGTGAGTTCAATCCTTGGGCCGGGCAGCGTGTACTTGGCCTCAGCGGAAAGAGAGTGAACAATAAGTGAGCAGTACTAAAAATAAGAACTAGACGAGATATCCCTAGACATGGGCAGTGGAACAAGAAGAGTCTATACTCGTAGATTAAATAACGGGTTCAGTTTTGGAATTCCTTCCAGGTTATCCAGTTCGATATACACCTAATGAAGCCCGGAGGGCACAACGGCCGAAATATTGTGATAATAACAACAAAGATGAGGACAATGGTTCGCATTGTAAATAATGATAACTCCTCATCCTAGAAATTCGAACAGAAAGTAATTATCCCCTCCATTATTATTTTGTTCATGAAATTGAAACCAAGGAAATCATTTACTCAATTGTTTGCAAAGTGCCCACATATTGCTGGCAGTAAAACAATGGTCAACCAGACAATTTCTACAAAGCTCTAGCGGATACTGAATAATTAATTATACGAGTCAGATAGGAAATGGTCGCAGTTTTTCAAATCGCCGTTAGTGAATTTCCCGTTGACTGAAATGGCGTATGACGTGCTTACCTGGATTCGTATTTCTTTTCAAGTTTCTCTAGTTGTTCTTTTGTTTTACTTTGTCATTGCCCCGAAATCTTTTTGTTCGAGAATAATATCAAAAAATAATAATGAGAACTCGAACTGTCCATGTCGGGCAAGACCTACACATCGAAAGTTGTTTAAACTTGATCCGTTTTCGGAAGCTAACTCAGTGAACACTGAGAAGGCTTCCGTATCTGCTTCCGGGGCTAAAATTGATATTGTCTACCAATTTCAATCACTGCCACTTTCCACCTGCTGAACTATTATTTTTTTTTTCTATATTTCGTTTGTCTTTCATGACTAATTAATATCCTGTTGGCAACATCGTTAGCTTTTAACTATTATTTTTTGCAAAATTTACCCAAATATATCGGGGATTTAACTATGAAAAATGCCTACTTACCACTGTTTTCTTCGAAGTAGTTAACTTAGGCATTTATATATTGATTCACATATGTTTTACAGCAATATACGGGCAGTTTCCATATGGTACAATGGAAAAATTCAACATTTTAGGGGAACTTGCATTATTTACATTATTCTGACTGTTATCCTAATCTTCATTGCCAGATTCACAATGTGTCGGCCGTTGTACTCTCCGGCTTTCATCAAAGACACATGGCTCATTGGATAAAGACGTTGGGTTGATCTAGTGACTAGACCCAAAGAGTTGTGAGTTCAATACCAGGCCAGATAATTCGTATGAGAAAAATAATAGCAATGCACTTTTATATAAAAAAGGACCGACAATACATATAGTAAAATGACCAATAATACATTTTTAAAGAAAATTTACCGGCAATTTATTTTATCTGTATTTGAAGAAATACAATTGCGCTCAAAACATGTTTCTTTGAAGCCATAAAATAGGGTTCAAATTATTTAGATTTCGGCATTAAATAATCCATAGAGATTAATATGACGATAATCAAGATTAGCCGACATGAAAGAACACTTTCATGACATCCATACAATATTAAACAATTTCCGAAATCAAACTGTATCATAAAACTTCAACAAATCTAAAAGCAGCCCAACAAAAATATAACAAGTTCTTACCAATAAGATAAAAATACTATGTAATAGAAACTTTTAAACGACAACAGCTAAAATATTAAGCATAAAATTTAAATAACCCAATATAAATAAAATGTTATCAAATTTAGGAACAAACATACAAAATATTAACCCTTTGAGCCCTGACCACCGCTTTACCGGTGGTAGAGGAAAATGACTTAATGCCCAGCCACCGGTTGAACGGTGGTAGAGGAAAATGACTTAATGCCCAGCCACCGGTCGAACGGTGGTAGAGAAAATGACTTAATGCCCAGCCACCGGTCGAACGGTGGTAGAGGAAAATGACTTAATGCCCAGCCACCGGTTGAACGGTGGTAGAGGAAAATGACTTAATGCCCAGCCACCGGTTGAACGGTGGTAGAGAAAAATGACTTAATGCCCAGCCACCGGTCGAACGGTGGTAGAGGAAAATGACTTATCGCCCAGCCACCGGTTGAACGGTGGTAGAGGAAAATGACTTAATGACCAGCCACCGGTTGAACGGTGGTAGAGAAAAATGACTTAATGCCCAGCGACCGGTCGAACGGTGGTAGAGAAAAATGACTTAATGACCAGCCACCGGTTGAACACTTGTAACTATTTTTATATCTACCGTGAAACATTAGATACCAATTGCTTGCGAATTTTCACTCAGGAGCTCAGACAGAAAGGTTAAAATTGTTCAGAAACGCAGAGTTCAAAAGATTAACATCAGAGCTGTATAATAATGATTTTGAATCAATGGGGGAAACATATTCAAAATGACCACTCCATCTACTCGTTGTTTTCTTTTCCCTTAAAATATCTGTCTAGTTATTTCCCTTTAACTCAACTCTCCAAGCTTTTGGTCTGTCGGGTAAATGGCACGTTAATCGGCGCGATAATATTGTTGTTGTGTAACCAATATCTGTGTTATCAGAGATGCTATTATTAAAGAAGCATTCGTCATGTGGACAAGCGAATTCATAGACAACATTAGTTTGTTAAAGTTGTTTTTGTATCGTTGATGGTGACCATGTTGTAATAAATGTTGTTTTGAACTTCTTTTTTATCGTTAAAATAAGGGTCCAAGCGTTTGAAAACAAATTCATAGGAAAACTACTTGGCGTCTTCCAATGGTAACATAAGACTAATAAGTTTTTTGCAGAAAAGGGTTGAATGTTTTGTAGGTCACCAGTAACCTCTTCTAGCCACTGTCAAACGGAGAAAGATGGCGTAGTTTGGACACATTACAAGACACAACAGCCTGTGCAAGACCATCATGCAAGGCACCGTTAAAGGTGGGCGTAGGAGAGGATGCCAATGCTAAAACTGGTTAGACAATATCAAACAATGGACAGGTATGACTGTATCAGAATTGCTGATGGCTGCCGTTGATAGACCGGTGTGGAAAAGAATTAGTGTAGCATTTGGATCCCCACTACGATTACAAAAGTGAAAGGGTTGATAATGATGATGATAATGATATCTATCTATCTATCTATCTATCTATCTATCTATCTATCTATGTCTGTCCAGTATCTATCTATCTATCCGTGTCTGCCCGGTATCTATCTATCTATCTATCTATCTATCTATCTATCTATCTATCTATGTCTGTCCAGTATCTATCTATCTATCCGTGTCTGCCCGGTATCTATCTATCTATCTATCTATCTATCTATCTATCTATCTATCTATCTATCATTACGAGACGCAGTAGCCTGTGCCTGACCATCGTGCAAGGCACCATTGAAGATCGACGCAGGAGAGGACGCCAACATAAAAACTGATTGGACAATGTGAAACAATGGAAAGGTATGACTGTATCAGAATTGGTGATGGCTGCCGTTGACAGACCGTTGTGGAAAAGAATTAGTGTGGCTCCTGCATCTGGATCCCCCCTACGATTCAAAAAAGTCAAGGAGATAATAATGATGATGATGACAATGTATATCTATGTATAAAATTTCTTATAATCTTGTCTAGTTTGTGATTACTGTGTATTTGGTTTTCTGTATAAGAGTTTAATGGTGTTTTTTCAGTCATTATTATTATTATTATTCGTTTTTGGTTTTTTCTAAGTTTAGTTTAATTTGCTTATCATTTGTTATTCGGAAAATTATTGCTAATACTGTTTTATTAATTTCAGTTCGTAATGGAATAGTGTGCGTGGAGAGGATCTTAAATGAGCTTTATTAAATTATTTATAACGAATAATTTGTATCAGTTGTAGCATAGACTTTTGAAGAGTATCCTGGGAGTGAAGATAAATTACATCCGGCAGCAAGGTCTATAATCGGGAGATTGGAAATTTTGATTTCTGTTAATTGCTGTTGTTCCCAGGTCCATCCTGACCCGGCGTGGTAGTATCTGTTAGAGTTTCAGCTATGGGCAAATAGTGGACCTCCCTAAACAAACAAAAAAAACTATGAAAGTATATATATATATATATATATATATATATATATATATATATATATATATATATATACCAGTAATATATTTTTATATACAAAACATTACCAACAATACATATTCGTAGTGATAATACCAACCATACCTATTTGTATTAAAATTACTAACAATAATTATTTGTCGTAAAATTACCAACCATACCTATTTATATTAAAATTACCAACAATATCTATTTATGATAAAATTAACAACAATACATATTTATAGGAAATGTCTTTATTTGGAAAAAATAAAAAACAATAAACTTCGGCAGTAAATGACCTAATGGGTTGATATACCATAAAACAAACAAACTCTGTTGAATATAAGTTGGTATGAGCATAAGTTAGTTTTTATAGACGAAAGGGTTAACGTTTCCATTATTCGAATCAACTAGTACATCAAAAAAGTATTTAGTTCATATGTGAAATTAACTATTATCATATTGTTGACTTTGTCCTTGTTGTTAGTTCATATAAGTTTATAGTCATATATATATATATATATATATATATATATATATATATATATATATATTGGGTA